CATTGTTCCCGATTTTCATAAGCGAATTTTGTTTAGCGATGAAGCGCACTTCTGGTTGAATGGTTACGTCAACAAACAAAACTGCCGCATTTGGAGCGAAGCTGATCGTCAAGTGTATGTCGAAACACCGTTACATCCAGAAAAACTGACTGTTTGGTGCGCTTTATGATGGCCAGAACGTTACAGTCAATGGTGATCGGTATAGAGCTATGATTACTAACTCTTTCATTCCGACTTAGGAACGCCCGACTTAGGAACGCCCGACTTAGGAACGCCCGAGCAGTACCGATCGATATCCCGAGACCAACCGAAGCGGAACAAGCCCCGCCCACCACCAATCGGCATAAATCCAACCTGCGCAGGAGAAATCGTCAGTCTACGTCCAACATCGGAGATGGAAGGACCTCTGAAGAAGCTCGCCTCTCGTGCTAGCGAAACGTTAGGAAGTAATTCCAAGCGACGACGGCCTTTAAACTCGAACCAAGATAATAGCTTACCGCTAGACTACTTTCTGTGGGGCTATATAAAGTCATTGGTCTATGCGGATAAGCCACAAACGCTCGACCATTTGGAAGACAACATTCGCCGTGTTATTGCCGGTATAAGGCCACAAATGTTGGAAAAAGTCATCGAAAATTGGACATCCAGATTGGACTACATCCGCGCCAGCCGTGGCAGTCATATGCCAGAAATCATATTTAAAATTTAATGCCATAAGATTATCTTTCGGATAAAAAAAAATTCTTGTTAATCGAATAATCCATCGTTGTTTTATTGCAACTTAAAGTTCTATACATCGAAAAAAAACACCCCTTACATAACAAATCACACACAGTATGTAGAGTACCATGGCCATAAAATAATATGGATAAATCGTGTCTCTCCAAAGTCTGTTCTGTGCCCATTATTTTTATTGATAAGATTTTTTACTCTTAAGTTAATAGTACTATAACATCACATAAAAATAACATTTGACGTGGAATATTTTGGTATTATCAGCAGAAATTCACATTATTTAAGCATGGAGACAGATGAACTAACATTCGGGTTTCCAGTGTAATTGCTTGCTCAAGGGCGCAAATCCAGTTTGCCTATGAACTTATTAATTATCATTTTCAAAGAATGCTGTAAAAGATATACTTTCGTGTTCTAAAAATTAAGTCAAGGCACCATGTGACTTTTTATGTTGCCCCTATATCTGCTATAAAGGCAGTCAGATTTATGTAACGATATATTATTACTAATTGCGAACTTCGATTTTATATATAATATTTTTTATTTTCTTTTTTGATGTGCTATGTTACTATGTTATTTTTTCGTTTAAGTTTTTTGTAACTGGGATTATCCTATTGCATAGTGGTGACTAAAAGTAATATTAGAGCGTAGTTTCGCATACATTTTTTCTAATATTTGGCCCTTACACGTTGAACTAAAGCACCACCAAAAGTGAAGTGACAACGTTTACAGTAAAAATAACGTAATGGCGTACGGACCACGTAATGGAACCTGTTTCTAGAAACGTGATCTCATCACATTCATAACGACCCGCCACTGCGCGAGATCGGTATCATTTATATTATATATGTATATAACATATCACAGTCACTAGCCCACAGATTTTTAACACGGGAGACCAGACTGCAGGTGCTTGACTGTTCTGATGATCTAGATATTATTACGGTGCCAGTTTAAAGTATCGGTCAGCCAGTGGCAGAGCAAAATTAAGCGTTTTGCCCGCCTTCAAGATATTTTGTACCTGGTAATTCATTAGGCGTGACAAGGTAGCATGCATCGGGAGCCAAAGTGGTAGGAGTTTGGAAAATAGCCCCCTTTTGGCGATAGCGAACTCGAACTGAATTGGATTAGGCCTGGTAATACAGACAATATTGATAATCTGAGGCAAATTTTATTAAGGGGAAGACAAGTAGTGATGGGGATTCTTTTCGTTGTCATAAATGTCACGTTTTATATCTGATTGGAGTTTTTGAGGATAAATCGTGTGCTACAGGGTATTTCGTGAAATCGTTTGAAACGTTTATGCTTCTTTGAATATGGTCGCAGTAATTGACATATTTTATAGTAAGAATAAATAACAACTCAGTAAGTTATTATATAAATAAACGTAGTAACTAAAATTGTTAATTTTATTTTAACATTTGTATGACTTGATATATATCTGTACCTATTAATTAAAAATAAAAAATAAATCAGAGTGTTGGTATTCATTACCTATTGATGTGATACTTGGCTCCGTTACTCACGACCGCGAGTCACTGTGGACATTTCCCGTACTTTAGTCACGGGTGGTATTCTGACGTTTGCCAATTGAAATTAAATGCCAAATCAAACTCGTTTATTGATCATCAAACTGGATGCATAATATATATGCGAAGAGAAATTTGCTGGAAATATTTTTTAAGTTTCGATGTCTACTGCCTGGCAAAACTCTCAGCATAGGTGGTAAAAAAATGCCTGCATTAGGTATTAACACTTTAATATTTTTGTAAATTGCTCAGGAATGTTTGAACTGGTAAAACGTAGGCATATGTCATTCGCAAAAAAAATATAGCGGTTTCATTTAAATAGGGGAGTAGTGTACATTTAAATGTAATTATAGGCGTTGTGTTCTCACAATACCCATAACATTGCTTTTAATATTTAAAAGCACGCATATTTTGCCGGATAGAAGGACAATAGTCCGCTCTCAAATGTTACAAATGTTTTCCTTGCGATATAAGATACTTAAGCATTGAAATCTTGTGAATAATTTCAATTCAATAATTTCATTAAAATCAGAAAGAGATTTCTTTAATAATATAAAAAATCTGCAGTAGAAAGAAAGGAAACAAATAAAAAAAATATTGATTTACATTGAAAGTCAGTTTGTTTGGTCTTGGTCTTAAAAGTCAAGAAAAGTGGCCAAATAAGAATATATAATAGCAAAATAATAATAAAGCTTTATTGATTTTACATTTAATTTTAATTAATTTAATTAGTTACTTGTTTTTTTTTATAAACAAAAATATATCGCGGGCACCTCGGCCCTTACTAAAATAACACCGCGTTATGCGCGGAGTGTATTATTTAGTTCGCAATAAACACCAAGAATTAATTTTGATAAAACAACCGAGGCATGCTTCTGTTAAATTATCATGTATGAATACTCAAGTTCCTCTCGCCAATATGTAATTACGGCAAATAATTAGCGGTTGTGGGCAGAGAATAAGAGTTAGTATAAATTTGATGCGGTCTCGGATATTCGCTCACACGGTCCAGACGTCTGCAAATTCCGAACCGTCATATTTTCAAAAAATTGTTTTCGTTTTGTTTTTAGAAGATTTAAAAATTTAAACAATGCAGCCGTAAGACCAATAAAAAAATATTTTGAAAGAAAGGAATAAAAATACTTAGTTTTCCTGTAGTACTATTCCGGTGCTATTTAATTAGTGTCCAATATTTCAGAGGGTGATTTCTCATATATTGTTTCCCAAGTTTCTCATATTTCTGAATGTTGGCTATTTAGAAAATCTTTCAAGTAATTGTTAAGTATGTTTATGGTGGGTCATAATGTTTAATTTTTAGGTGTTCTTTTGCTCTTATAAGACAAAAACGAGAGGTATTTTGTTTTGTCTATATTAAGAGTTAGTTTATTATTTCGAACCAAATTTTTATAAATTCTATTTTGATCAGTTTTTTAACTTCTTTCCCAGTTCTTGTCCTACAGATTAATACCGTGTCATAAGGCGAAAAGTTATATCTAAAGTTCCTCGTTCTCGAAATACAGACACACACACACACACACACACGCAGTTTTATTTTTGATGTTTTTTGGATAATAAGTAAGTAAGTAATTAAATAAATAAGTAAGTAAACTTACTGAAGTACTTGGGTCTAGCGATTAATAAACGAATCCAATCCAATCAAGTTGGATGAATTCAATTTTTTTACCTGTAAGTAAGAGCTAAATTAATAACAAATTCAATGTCGAAAACCCTAGGTACCAATTTTGGTTCAGAAATTTTTAAATTTTTTTAGAATTTTATTTGGAAAATTATGCAGAAAACAAAAATAAAACTTTGACACCCTGTATCTCGAAAACGAAACATTTTAGACCATACGTTTATAGTAAAGATTTCTCTCGAAGATACTTAAGCGCAGATACTTGGTAGATATCATCCTGTATTTAATCCGCTCTTGTAGACGGTATTAAATAAATAGTAAATAGGCCTTAAAAGTTTTTAAAACGTCATCTAACAGACTAAGATACAGGTAAACCACAAAACTATTGAATATTGACAAATATTATTCGTCGTAATCTAGTTCACCGTTGTAGTTTATTTAAAATCAACACTAAGACTTTAAAAATACTTGTGTTATTAATAGGCAAATCGAAAAAATAAAACTTAAACTACCATCATGAAATACAACATGAACACTTAAAATAAATTTGCAAAATAACAATGGCTTCATTTAAATTTCTAAATTTAAACATTAATAACAGTCTGCATACCGAAATGCATTTTTGTCGCTTCCACTGTAACGTCAAAATGACGAGATAATCATAACCATTATTATAATACGCATAATTGTTTCGGGTATTTGTTATGCAGATTTTTCGTAAAACAATTATAATTTTTAAAAAAATAGATGCCGTTTAAACGACTCCAATTCTCCCGGTTCTGAAAAAAATCGACATGCAAGGTACTACTCTACATACCTAAATTAGTACCATAAATAAATCAACTACATTCTTCAAGGTTTAAGCCGATGTTAGACAGGAATATTTCGTCCAGCGAAGTCGTACGGGGTACTACTATGCTCTACATTGGACATGCACAAACTCACTACTATACTTCTCTCTTTGGTTATTTTTTGCCGTTCTAAGTTTCCAGGTTTACTAAAAATGCCCTTCTGGTGTATGTCAGTACTGCGGTAACTACAGCGCAGATCTACTATTAATGGGCAACATGCATGAATTTTCTAGTAGCGGCAGTACACACCTGGCAAATATCGCGCAGAGTAGTACCCCGGAGGGCTGGGGTAGTACTGGTACTGATACAGTCTGGTGTAACTCGGCGGTGGCGGATACATTGTCGAATCTGAAAAACGTGATTAAAGAGAATGCGTTATGTGGCATGATGATGAACATGTGACAAATTGATCCGGGTGTAGCAAATAAACTAAAATGATACGAAATATGGTCAACTGTTAGTGAATGATGATGTTCCAAATTGATCTACTACAACTATCTTCTACAAGAGCAGAGACATTCAATACTGCTAGAACGACTTCAACCCACGTGCTAATCTATGTCTGTGTTCAAAACACAGTCACCTCTAATCGATCAATGGTTGTTCATGAATATAGTTGCAAGAACTTTTGTTTTTCTTCTTTGGCAGTAGGTGTAGTTTCTGCGAAAATACTGTTTCTTTCTCAATTTTGACACTTTTAGAGTCCAAAAAATCAAACAGTAATTGAAAACTTAGAAATTATTTGGTTTAAGATTATTTTAAGAATAGGATATGCAGTAGTACTCTAGTCACGACTATGACGAGTTACTAAAGAAGTTAACCAGTACTTTTTGAGTACGTTTTTGTAAAACAACAAGAGTACATTCACGTGTGATGTGACCATCAGAACTGGCAAACGTCCAAATACCATTAGTTGGTTTCCAAACCCGTTGCAAAGTACCGGAAACTATAGTAGTTAACGAATCTGACGTGTTGAAGTAGCACTGTACGCACGCCTGATCAGTAGAATAAAATAAAATGAATAAAAAAGTAAACCGTGGTTCTTCACAATGATGTTGACTTCAAAATTGTTTGGATGAACTCTATTCCAAACTGATTTTATTTGATCTTTGTAAGTTGTTATTACGTTCTTATTGCATTTTTTCAAAGAGTTTTCTTTTGAACCATTTAAACCAAGGCTACTACTGTCCAATGTGTGACAAAAAATCTAGAAAAACTTGTAACATTTCTTAGAACTCAGTTACAAATTCCATGTCGCGTTCGAGCTGCCTCATAAAATATTACTTTCATCCCGACAACGTCCCTCGCCATACTGTTAAATGAGAAAAGTGTAATTAAAAGTCGAAAGTAAGGTTTCCAATTGCCAGTACATTCGTATACCAACTATGACCACATATCAGTCCCTATGACTGGCGGAAGATTTATCTAATAGATCTGGGTAACAGTTGTTAGCGAAAAAAGTAGCGACGTACAGTTTTTACGCGTTTGTTTCTAAGAACTGGTTGGATGTTTTGTGTTCGACGCCATTAAAAGTAGCCACATTGTATTTGCGAAGATTGAATGTGACTTTATCGACTGACTCGAAATAAGGTTACTGGGATATCTCGCTTTGCCGCTACTTCCGCAAATTCCTCGCTCCTTTACAGTGCGTTCGTTTGTTTTTCTCGGAATATTTCTTAACAACATAATTCGTGAACATTTTTTGCCCAATATGGCAATTCATCAATTGTTGCAAATTTGTAACTTTCTAACATTGACAGAAGGAAATTGAGATCCTGAAGGTACTGAAAGTACCAAAGACGCAAATTTTTGTGTTTCTCTGTATAGAATAAAACTTTATTCACCACTCATATAAAGTTAGAATAATGCAAGTAATATTAAGAACTAACTAAAGTTTTTGTATTATAGACAAATATAATTAGTGAAATAAACACAGTTAAACATATTGATAAAATTGTTTTTTATAAGGTGATTCAAACATCTTGACTTTTTAAGAGTGAAATGTGTCATTTGATGTGCATATGCATGAAGACGATTTTTCTTAGGCGGGTGTACTTGTTTTCTTGTTTTGTATATTTTTTGCTTAGTATTATTTATTATATATGATGTGAATGATTATATGGATATGATTTGCATTATTTTTAAAAATGTTAGTTAAATTAACTATTTACTATGAAATTAAACAAAAAGTCATATTGTTACCCCACGTCAATATTTAGGCAACACTGCTTACTAAAACCTAAATGCATTTGAATTACAATATCAGTTTTATGATTGATTTAAGCGGCCTGTTTTAGTTGGTTTTCTGTGATTAAACAGTTTTCAAGCAACATAATACAAAATTTCATTGCAAAGTTGTATTTCTAACTAGCTTCAAGTATTCGTTAGTATCGTGAAAGGCATCCTGAGACAAAAAGCCTTTCACTTACCTTTACCTAAAACTGAAAACAACCCATAACAAAAACTATTCAGATGAAGAACAAAAGACATGGACATAGGGAGAAGGGAAGTGGAAGGAGGCTGTCCATAAATTAAAAACTTTCTTCTTTACTTTTTTTCTAATATTGTGATTTGAATTTAAAACATCGTATTTTTGGAAGTACGAATGGGAATTTTTTGGTTTTCTCAACACGTTATTAAACTTTGCAATTTTTTTCTAATTTTACCATCTTAGACATCCTTATCTTGGTCACACTGTATAAGTAGAGTAATTTAACTTTACAATACAAATTAATATTAATTCATTACATGGCGCATGAATTTGTCATCGGAGAAATTGTTAATAACGACATGAAATTGCTTTCCATTTAATTTGCATTTCTATAACTTACATTGCCGCTTTGAAAAACCTAATGAATTCAATTCATGTTTTTCGCATTTTTTTCTAAACGACGTATTTACATAAAGGCTCCATATAATCAAGACAAAGTGAGTTTTTTGATAACGATCGGCAGAGCTTGTCGTTTTCTAGTGGTTTTCTTTTTACAAAGCAAAGGTTTGTCAAGCAGCAGGCTCAGGAGATACTCAAATGACATATTTTTTGACATAAACGCACTGATGACAAAATAATATAAATAAGATTTTTTTCTGCCCTCTACTGTAAAATAATTGGGTATTGGGTATGCCCTGATCAAGGGTAAGCAAAGTGTCACTTTACATTGGCCCTGAATTTGGAAGCAATCGGATGATTTCGGCAGATTTTAGCCTGATGGCCGCATCACACTTTACTGAGTGAGTGTATTAGTATTGAAGAAATTCAGTCGAAAGTGCCATTTATAAAATTTTTTGCATAATACACTCTTAAGCTTCGATAGTGCCGGCTTAGGATGTGACCTACCCAACTTTGGTTAGTTTGTGGTTGTTTGTTGTTTCGGGTTAAATAAACTTGGTGCAAAGCAACAATGAAGTAACTAAAACTAACCAAAGCTTGGGTACATTACATATTAAACCAGATAACCTTAGGTAGTGAAGAGCACCTAATCAAAAATCAAAGTACAATTTTAACGTATTTAACGTAAGTTTTCCTTCACAAGTACACAAAAATCTAAACGCGGTCCTTTATAAAGTTTTCGCCATCACTTTGAGACATTTTCTAGTAGATATACAGGGTGAGGTGCTGGAACGTCCTGCGTATGTGACTCAGGTCAATAAATCGCTTTCAATGTCCCAAAAATAATCGGCGGGATCATTATTTTCGTTTACGTCTGGTTCTTATTTTTGGTCCATTCGGTAGACGGTAATATTCGCGACACCGCCATTTCCTAACGGATCGGCAAATTGATTTTGCTGACGTATTCATGAAAGCCCATCGGCGCGTAGCAAATTGTAATCTCGCTTTCAACAAAATGACAGGATTGCGCCTCATAATTGGAGTGTTCACAACTGACGCGCCCGGTCATTACTTATTATCGATTAACAATTCTTCCGCTGCCAAAGGAAGCGTTTGGAATTTTATGCTCCAGATAGGTGCGAACCGATACGAATTTTTGTTTCACCAGTTCCACTTAATTTACCAACGGTCACGCAAGTCGATATCTGGGTTGCAAATATTATTTTCTCTTGGTCAGCTTGCGTCGGGTTCACTTTCTTTAAAATAATTGATGTGCAACGGGAACGCTCAATCTACTTGTCGCGAAGTTTCACGATTCTAGGAAACGTCATACCGCGCTACCGGTAAGTAATGAATCTCGAAAATTACGGGCTAATTTAAATCGAAACCCAGGGACGTAAACAATATAGCTTGCTAGTGAAGTACAAAAAATATCTGCTTCTAGCTGGAAAAAATGTGTAGAATATGTCATCGAAGAAGAAAATATTTACAGAAGTCCACTGACGATAGTTATTATCTTGGTGTGGAATATTTTTTTTAAAGTAAGAATGGATTTTCCACTGCATGGACTAATAGCAATCGAGGAATCTGATCTATGAAACTATACACAAATCCGTCAGCGTTCATCATTTGTATAAACGAAGTACCGAAGTCCGATTCTGGAACGCCATTGTTTAATTGCGGATCTATTATGTCGGAAAGACGGTATATCGTACCTTCGATACTGGTAGTGGACCGACTCACTTCAAAATATTGACAAAATGCTAGTTAGTTATGAGAAAAAATGGAGTGTATTTAAAAAACACAATAAATTGGTTTTCTAGTTATCTAAGTGGTGAATTAAAAATAATAAATTCACGAGCTTTAAAAACTGTTATAATTTCTCAGATGTAGTAAAAGTTTGGTTTATTCAGCTTCTTACTATCTACTTGTTAATATTCATTCGGAATTAAATTAATAAATAACATTAAGAGATAAGGTTACTGTAAAGTAAGGTAAGTTAAACTTTGGCATGTTACCTAGCAGTGCGCATAAAAGCAAAGGCAAAAAGATCCAAGAAAACTTAGAATATTTATCCAAAATTGGAGCTCTACTAATCTCTTAAGTCTAAAAAGAACCCTCACATAAGTTCTTAACAAGCTCTAGAAAATCATTGAATAATTATTGGTTGTTTTCTAAGTGCGAAAGCAACTTTGTATCATAGAGAAAAAATGCGGCAAAAAAAGGAGACGATCACTAGCGAACTGCATTACGTACGAGAAGCGACACTGCGGGTAACGTAATAGGCAAACGGCATACAAGACCTAAAAGTCTTTATTTAGCAACACGCCATTGCAATAGTGGTATCGTGTTAATTGGTAGCAATTTTTTATTCGAAGCTGTTTTTATTTTGTAAGAAAAATACAGCAATAGTTTTGGAACTTGGAATTACCGGTTAATTTATTTCGATCATGCCTTGCTTACTGTCTGATACTATCTAAAAATGTAATAATTTATAATAAATTTTTCAAATAAACTT